CATTTATTTTTATGGCAAATGTTCAATTTCTTGGTTAAGATAGAAACTCAGTTCTTCCTTTGAGGAGAGGGAGATACTGGGGATTGAACTCAGACATGCTCTTAAGCATGCTAGGCAAATACTCTACCTCTGAGCTATATCCACAGCCCTCAGTACATTTGTTGACTCACACTGATGATTGATATTTTAGGCCAGTGAATGTGGGTCAGTCTATATTTGAGAAACACTAAACAAATGGTTATACCTCTTAAAAAGTTTTTCTCCAATTTGAACAGTTCTTTTTTAAGAGTTATTTTTAATTCAAGACTTTCAGGCAAAAATCAAAATGCTAGGGGCTAGGAAGGTGGCTTAGTGGTAGAGTGCTTGCCTTGCATGCATGAGGCCCTGGGTTCGATTCCTCAGCACCACATAAGCAAAAAAGAAAAAAGCCGAAAGTGGTGTTGTGGTTCAAGTGGGAGAGTGCTAGCCTTGAGCTGAGGAGCTGAGGGACGGCGCCCAGGCCCAGAGTTCAGGGCCCACGACCAGCCCCCCCCCCGCCCCCGCAAAAAAATCAAAATGCTAGCTAGCTGTTGGTGAATCCTTTTGAATTTTAAGAGAGTAAAAGATTGTAAATAGGATACTAAATAATTGAAATATGATTATGATCTGAGAGGAAAATGCTGTATTATAGAAAAAATTTTGATTTGCCCCTAAAAATTTGTAATATGTCAGCACTACACATTCTTTTTTTTTTTTTTTTGCCAGTCATGGGGCTTGAACAGGGCCTGGGCACTGTCCCTAAGCTTCTTGTACTCAAGGCTAGCACTCTCCCACTTGAGCCACAGCACCACATTTGGCTTTTTTTATTTATGTGGTACTGAGGAATCAAACCCAGGGCTTCATGCTTGGTAGGCATGCACTCTACTATTAAGCCACATTCCCAGCCTTACAAATTCTTATTAAGTTTTTTGTCCTGTGACTATTCAGGTAAATTTGCAATGATGGAGTCTTCAGTTGTCTTTATGACCATGGTAGGTCTTTAAAATAACTGAATATGTTGGACTAGTCAGTTTTCTGTCACTGTGATAAACTACCTTAGACAATAACCTTGTAAGGAGAGAAGGTTCATCTTGGTTCATTGTTTCGTGCAATACGTGAGCTTACTCATTGGGTCAGCTGATCCACTGCTCTTGGATCTAGTGATTCATAGTATCATAGTGGGAATGTAAAACAGGAAGCTGTTCATCTCATGATTGCTAGGAAGTAAAAGGAGAAAGAAGAGAGGCTAGGGTTTTAATAGCTCCTTCAAAGTCATACTCCCAATGATTTAACTTCCCTGTACTGGGTCTTACCTCCTAGAGGTCCACCCTCCAAACCCCAAAAGGGCCATAGACCAGTGACCAAACCTGTAATACATGGCTTTTAGGGGACCCTTGTCCAAACTATAAAGCTGGGCAATCAATCATTGGAAATATCTTCCTTTTCATTCTCTATTTTGGTACTTCTTAGTCAATCTTTGATGCTGTTACCTGAGACTACATAAGTAAACTTTCTAAACCTAAAGTTTATATTCATCATCTGAACAACAATTTTTAATTTCCAGGTAGTCCATTCCTCTCCTACAAAGAAATATTCCTGTGATTTGCTGTTGCTATTTGCTTCAAAATTAGAATAATAATTTCTAGGGGTTGAAATTATATTTTAGATGGCTGAAATTGCTACTTAACTGTCAAATAAGGATGAATATGCTGAATTAACTTTTTTGAAGGGAAGTGAAGCAAGTACCACATGTACTGTTAATTCCAATAAGCCTTAATATGGCTTCATTATATACCAACATCTAACTCATTAAATCAAAGTGTTTACTTTTACCTCTGCTGTATAAGGCACACAGAATATATGAGAGTAAAATCACTTGCTTGGAAAGTGTCTTCATTGCAGACATTCTTCAATCCTGTTTCAAGATCAGAGAAACTTTCCTTGTTTTGTGGAAAATATCATTTATTGATGTAGGATAAATTTTTAAGGGCAAATCAAAGCTATTTAATATGAGCAGTATTAAGCCTATCAACTGAATGGCTTGAATAATAAAACATATCAAAATGTCAACCACCACAGCCAGACACAAGCTTGTAACAACTTTAATTGACGTAATTATAATTGATATGCATTATGTCTTACAACAAATGGAGATACAATGACATCAAATATCAAAGAAGTTGCACATTTTTTCCATCTTTCAGTTTGCTAACTTCCCCAAGAAAGAAAATCTGGCAATAAACTCTTGGCTATTACCAATACCAACTAGTATTTTTAAGGTCAATATTGAAATGGTACATTCATTTGCCCCTGAAAAAAAGGTTAAAGGCAAAGAAGGTGAATTGACGTGCAAATCAGCATCCAGCCCAGTTGCATCATTTCCCAGAGTCAAGGGATTGAACCATGCACCCTTGCAAGCAAGGTGAAGGGCAAGCAGATGACATGAAACCACAATCAACTCCACAGTGCATCCAAGACCTCTGGAGAATGAAAGCAGAGATCTTACTACTAATAGTGCTCGGGTGTTTGTCTGTGCCACCTTAACCTTCTAAATTCTGATGTTTTCATCTGTGAGCCCTGTGTCCAGACTACCCATCCTTTCAGTGGGAGATGGTAACTATCTATTGTATCACCAGGCACAGTTCATACTGTGTCAGTTACGTGAATGGGAGGGAAGCTCAGTCTGATGTGGATGTGATAGAATCATAGTTTCATAGAAGAAGTAAAAACCACACATCAGTATAACAGCAAATAAGAATCTGAGATCACGTGTGTATCTATGTAATACTTAACATGTTTATAAATAGTTTTCTCCAGAAACTCAAAATACTGTTGACACAATTTCATTATCCCTCACAACACAATCTGTGAGGTAGAATGGGGGTGAGCTCAATATCAAACCACCACCCCTATTTTACAAATAAAGAAAAAACAGATGTTCTGGGGATACCAGTGGGGCTACAAGAAAGAAAACCAAATTGGACAAAGTGGAGTCCTCTGTGCTCATTTGTAGCATCTTGAGGAGAGGCTGTCTGCCTCCCTCTTGCTCTGACATTCTCTCTATTGCATCAGGATTGGTTCTATTATGCTAGCATATGTAGTTTAGATCTGATGGAGCCATTTCCCTTGGGTAGACTTAGACAGACTCTCCCTGAGGTAAAAGACATCAATTGCTGGCATATGTTTCAGGGGTGTGTGTGTGTGTGTGTGTGTGTGTGTGTGTGTGTGTGTGTGTGTGAATTATCATTTGTACAATAAACTTGCTAAAATATTTTGGCTAATTCAATAGAAGGCAAAATACAGTTGGGAAAATAAGGTTCCACCTTCATGTATTTCATGCTAACAGACACTGTGCTTTTGTGTGATGCTGTTACCTTGCTGAATATACCTGCTCTGGGTCCAGACCAATCTCTTTGCTAGAAGCTTTTAGAAGTGAATCACAGCAGGGGCTGGGACAGTGGCTCAGTGGTAGAGTGCTTGCCTTGCATGCATGAGGCCCTGGGTTTGATTCCTCAGCACCACATAAGCAGAATTAAAAAAAGCCACACGTGGTGCTGTGGCTCAAGTGGTAGAGTGCAAGCCTTGAGCTGAAGAGCTGAGGGACAGCGCCCAGGCCCAGAGTTCAGGCCCCACAATCAGACCCCCCCCAAAAAAAGAAGTGAATCACAGCAATAAACCTATCAATAAACCTTCAGTATGGAAAAACACATGCTGCATTCTTGGTTTATAATAGGTCAGGATTCTTGGTCTCTCTGACCAAGAACTAAGACCCACAAAATCATGCACTTCTCCAGAGGTGTTTCATTGACATTTTGTCAAAATGATTTTGGCTGAGTGAAGGGAGAAAAGCATGTGGAGTGTCCTGTTTTTATTGGCTGAAAGCCCGATGGAAAGGACTGAGGTGGGGAAGAGGGACAGTTGTTGAGGCCAAGCATGGCCAAAGAGGGCATCTTTGGTCATTCTTTGTAATTTGTTTTTTTTTTTTGGAGAAGGTCCATGTTTTGTTTTGTTTTTCTCTTGTGTTTAGTATTCAGATATCTTAATTTCTGCCACTTCATTCCTCTGGCTCTCCTGTGGAAAGCCTCCAGGGCTGCTCATTCCCTTGGGCCCCTAGCATTTTAGAATAATGTCTTTCAGAGGGCAAATGGCAGGTTATGGGAATTGGTAACTGCAGGGTTCAGGAAAAGCACAGCAAATATAGTTTCCAAAACATGCATGGCAACAAGATCCATGTTTAGAAATCTAAATTGATGCCGTTTCAAGTTCTTTATGACATTGGAGGATGAGATGACACATTTCAAAGAGTGTGTTGTCTATTTCCTGAAGGCAGGACATAAAATACCAGTTGCTAATATTAGATATTAGAAGAGAACAGAGGAGTAGCTATGATGTAATACTCTTCAACAATGCAAAGGATAAAGAAACAACCGTGCATGCCAAAACCCAACCTATCAGCCAGCAAACTAAATAACTCTGAGGATAAAAATTTGGCACATCATTTTTTTGGTTATAAATTAAAAAAAAAAGCATTACTAAGTTGTGATTTTTTTTTCTGTCACAAGGATATTGCAATATACCAGAGTTTCTCAGTCTCATTCCTATTGATATTTGGGATGGTTCCTTATAGAGGGCTGCTTTGTGTACCACAGAAGGTTTAGCAGGGGGTCTCTGCTCATGGCTAGCACTTCTAGCTTATCACAATCAAAATGTCACCAGACATTTTCAAATACCCATGAGTTGGGAGGCACAAATCATTCTTAGTGGAGAATGACTGAAATAAAATGAAATCCTTCAAATATGAACAGTTATTTTTCAAAATCCGTTGTACAGGATTTTAAGACTGAATACCCAGAGGCGTTTACTTATTAAAGTGGAGAATGAGTAAGGAAAGCATACAGGAGAATAAATGGATTATTCATGCGGTCTGTTTTCTATGGAAATGTGTCATTAAGCAATTGCAGATAGACCAGTGCCTCTTCTTCTTTTTTTCCTCTTTAAAAACAGCTCTCAGCCATTACCCAGCAGATAGCCAGGGAGTGACCAGTTGCTTCATGGGTGTGAAACAGGAGTTATATGGTTCCTCTAAGCAGTGGATGTTTTTAACAGCCGCTGAGAGGTGGCTGAGCAGGTACTTAATACACCATGCCTGTGATCTCTCCTCTATCCCATTCTGTTCTCTCATTCGACTAGCCAGTTCCTTTCTTGTCTTTGGGCTCACCTCCCTGCCTTCTCTTTAGGAACCGCAATTCTGCTGAGGGCTTGTGGGCTGTGATCCTAGTTATCTTTGCTTGGCTTGGAGGGGAGAAGGTAGAGGGCATGCTGAGATCCCACAACAAGTGAACACTCTGCCCTCAGCCTGCTAGTCACCTCCAGGGCACCGCCTATTTTCATCTTTTGTTAATTAGGCAGCTAAACCTCACTATCCAGCTTGTAGAGCAAAGCAGGCATCTTGTTAGATACAACCAGATAAACAGATTAAAAAGGAATCTGAGAACCCTCTGCTTCTCCATGCAGGGAAAATCCTCTGAGGACTGCTTCCTTTTGCTCCTCCTTGATAGTTAATGCAATTTCCTAGAGACAAGCTTAAGAAATAATCCAAACACAAAGTTCCCCTAAAATTAACCCCTAACAATACAAGCCAATCATTCTTCCTCAGTTCTTCTCAAGGTGAGTCCTTTGGTGGGTGCTGATGTCTCCACTACAGTGGTCTAGCTTGGCCAGTGCAAGCTTGGCCCGTTTCATCAGCAAACCAAGTCTCTACTCATCTTTAAATAATGGTTCTTTTGTACCAGGAAGGGGACAACGTAGCAGCCAGAGGAGAGGGAGAAAAACAAAAACAACCATACCAACAAAACAGGACTTGAGATTGTCATTCAATGCGCATCAGGTACTTGTTATTAATTCTACTGAATAAGCACTTATAAATAAAGGACAGTTATTCCTCATCACAGGCCACCTTTCTTCGTTAGGAGTCATCATACAGAGGGTTGTTGTAGTTTCCCCAGGACCCGTAGTCATGGTCATCCAAAAGCCTTCCATAGGAGGAATGCCTGGGGAAGAAGAAGATGAAGGCTGTGGTTATTTGAAGAAGTTTCCTGTCTGAGCATAGCCTGATAAACAGAGTCCTGAATGGAGGAGCTGTGCAGGTCAGCCCCATTCTCTTCTCTTTCCTCCACTTCCAGTGTGGGAGATAGAGAAAGAGGCCTTGGTCCTATGACCCTCTAATAAGAAGAGATGGAAGAAGAAGCTTGTATTCCCAGCACACTGGCTGTTGTTTCTGTCACCAGCCTTCTTGGCATTTAAATTGTTGGTTTTTTTTTTATCATTTACAAAGTGCTTCTGTATTCAGTGTTTATTTTTTCAAAATAAAGCCAAAAAAGGGAAGGTGTCGTTTGTCTTTATTTTTCCAATAAGGAAAATGAAGCTCAGAGACACTTGATGTTATTCCCAAAGTCATTCATCTGAGCAGGGAGTCAAACCCTATCACCTGGACCTCAGCAGTGGCTAGGGTTTAGAACTCAGGTCTCCAGGGTCTGAATAGCACCTTGTTTTATTAATAATATGGTTTAAATAGGCTTTCTTGGGTCACTCTGGGAAGCTGTCACACAGTTGTTTCTGTAAGAATGGGAAGTTAGATTGTTACTATCCCTCTTCCCAAAACCTTTTATAGCTCCTCATTTCACAGAAGGAAAGTCAGTTACTACAATGGTTTGTAAACCCTTAAAAAGCTGGCCCTGGCTGCTTTACTGAGAAAATTTTAAGACTACAATTAATGACAGGATTGGGAAAAAAAACCCTACAAAATGTATATGCGGTACCTCTGAAGCTTATGCTGGCATGTAAATTATAGTGTCTGGCCAGTGGACAGGATGTATGCTAGGTCCAGTACAGAAAAGCATGCTCTTTCTCCCTAATTTCTCCAAATATGAAAATTAAACAAAATAAAATATAACCCAAGAGACACAAAAAGCATTTGCTCTACTTCTATCGGTTGCTAAAATAATTGCTATTTTTTCTTCTGAAGTTTATTCTCATCAGACAGGGGTTTGCAAACCCAACATCTTACCTTTGTTGTCTACATTTCAAAGTCTAAGCCTTCAAAATTCTGGTTGGGTTCTAAAAACAAACTCTGCTGACTCAGTCCATGTACTCAGAAACTTGAAGATGTTTCTATGATATTGCTGTTCCCAAGAAAGGCCCATATTAATTTTGGTAGGTAGGGGGATAGGAATGACCAGAGAGTGGTCAGGAACCCAGAAACATCATTGTATTTTTTCCTTTTTACTTTCTGGTCTTGGAGCTTGAACTCAGGGCCCTGGGTATTGTCCCTGAGCTTCTTTGTGCTCAAGGCTAGCATTCTACCACTTGAGCCACAGTGACACTTAGGGCTTTTTCTGAGTAGTTTATTGGATAGAAGAGGCTCACAGACTTTTCTGCCCGAGATGGCTTTGAACCGTGATCCTCAGATCTCAGCCACCTGAGTAGCTAAGAATATAGGTATGAGTCACTGGTTCCTGGTTACATTTTTTAATGTACAGATATATTGGAGGTAGATTTCGGATATGATGGTCAATTCCAATGAAACTCTTTATCCTGGGTATTGTGACATTGGAGCCTATCCTAAATTCAGCCTGATTTACTGTTGCAGGCCTGGCAAATATCTACCTAATAAACACAAACCATCATTGACGGGGTACTCCTGTTATCCTTTGTAAGGCAATTTAATTTCCTGTAACATTTTTATTTCTATCACACAATTTTATTTCTATAAAATGACACTTTGGTCAATAGATGTCCTTGAGTATATTTTTAACTCTCTGTTTCATCATCTATAAAGTAGAGAACGAAAAAATGCATCAGAGTTGTTAGAGGGAATTAAATAAGGCAATACATTGAAAAGACTTGACACATAATAGTTACACAATAAATTTTGGCCAATACAGCTTTGTAATTTTCATTGCAATGAAACTTATAAAAGCACTGTGAAATCTGCAAACAGTAACATGACATTGAATGGATACAGACCTACATCTGCTAGCAATTCCAATATTTTATATTATCATTAGTTGAATTTTATAAATCATTACTATGTTGAAGTGATGTTAAAGTATTAAAAATATTTGGGTTGCCAGGCACCAGTTGCTCACAGCTGTAATCCTACCTACTCAGGAGCCTGGGGTTTGAGGAAAGTGGTTCAAAGCCAGCCTCAGCAGGAAAGTCTGTTGAGCCTTATTTCCAATTAATATTCAAAAAGCTAGACATGGAGCTTGGCTCAAGCTGAGTTCAAGCCCCAGTATTGGCACATATAAATCATTTGGGCGGTTAACATTTCTTATTTGTGGTTATTTTAGACAAGACTATTTTTCATTGCTGTTCCTGAGTCTGCTGTTGTAAGAGGCATTGAGTTTACCATAGTAGTAAAATAAAAGAACTGAGCTTTACTTTCACTCTTCTTTGTCTTCTAGTTGGAATGAACAGTGGGTTAAGTGCTGAGAGGTGAAGAAAAAGATGCAGAGATAAGGATAAACCTAAATGGGCAATGTACTGAACCTGTAGGGCTGGCTTTAATACATCCGTGGACCTGAACAAGAAGAATTCAGTGTTCTGAAATTCAAGCCAGGTTTGGATAAATCTGATACTATTGTAGAAAGAGTCAGCCAATCACATTTTGTGCATATGTGATAAGGGAAGAATAAGGAAGCATGTTAACCTTTCTCTAGGTCAGAACATGGCATGTTTTGGATGGAAATAGGAGCTTTCCAAATTAGCGTGTGGAGAGTATGAGAAGTCCAAACCAAAACAAAATGAAACACCTCCCATTCTCAGTATTAGGAAAGATACCAAATAACTTTGTCAATTTATTTAATGGTAAAGCTGCTATAAAATCATCTCTTGACTCCATACAGCAAGATTGCTTCATCTAATTTCAATCTGAACAGCAATCTGTATGAATGATGTCATTGTCAGACCAAGGAGATTTTGTTTACTCAGTTTCTTAATACAGACTGGCACCTATCCAACATAGCGATGTTTGCTATTTGCTATGCCTTGGCTCCTCTTAGATGGTAAACCTCTGGGCGGCAGTTTATGCCTTATTTTTCTTGTTCACTATCAGAACATCTAATATGATGCTCTAGATGTGATGGTTATTTTATATAAATATTCAAGGATAGCTGCTTACATCTGGCAGCGATACTGAGTTGGCTTGATCAGAACTATCAGAGATGCACATGGTCTAGGGCTGTTGGTTGTGCACTACTACTGCATTATAGTAGAAAAACTATCATTAAAGAATGTCAAAGCTAAGTTTAGTGACAGTGGCTCTCGCCTGTAATCCTAGCTACTCAGGAGGTTGAGATCTGAGGATCATGGTTTGAAGCCAGCCTGGGAAGAAAATTCCATGAGACTCTTTATATCCAATAAACTACTCAGAAAAAAACCTTGCAGTGGCACTGTGGCTCAAGTGGTAGAGTAATAGCCAGCCGTAAGCACAAAAAGGTTTAGGGATAGTGCCCAGGCCCTGAGTTCAAGCCCAAGACCAGCCAAAAAAAAAAAAAAAGAATGCCAAAGGTCAAAGCTGTTATTTTGAAGTTAAAGATAGGAAGAGAAAAGAGAGTTATAGCCCGACTGTCATTTGATGAAGTGGCTTTACAGCACCTCACACAATATCAACATCTCTTCTTAGTCAATGGCACTGGACATCTTGTCAGTAATTTTACTGCATTGTATGTTTTACATAGGTAAAAGCAGAAACCAAGAGAGAAAACTAAAGAATAACCTTTTGGGGGGGCCAGTACTGGGGGTTGAATTTGGGGCCTTGTATTTGTTATGCATGCAATCTACTATTAAGCCACGCCTCCAGGTCCTTTATGCTTGGATTATTTTTTTTTGGTTAGATCTTGTTTTTGGCCTGGACTGACCTGGTTTTCTACAAGTCACCAGGAATGACAGACATGCCTCTACAGCATTAAGATATTGTGCTTTCCCTGCAGCATGGATAATATACACCACTGTGCTCAGATGTTGGTTGAGATGGAGTATATCAAAATTTTATGCCTGGATTGGCCTTGAGTCATGAAGATCCTTCAATCTCTGTCTCCCAAATAGATCGGATTATAGGCTTGAGATTTAGTTCCCTGCTCAAGAATGATATCTTTTAAGCCCTTCCCTCATTACTATAGCTATATCTATATCAGCACACTCCAAAAAAAATTCATCACTCTTCACTCCCACCCTATAGGTGACATCTTATTAAGGGCCTTCCTCATTAATGCAAAATAGCTTCTATTTTAAGATAACTGTGGCTCTGATACTTGCCTTTGATAGTTGTCTTTGAAAATGGGTGAGATATCTCACTTTCTCTGTGTTAAAACATATTTTAGAAACCACCTTCACTTCTACAAAGGTTCATTGTAGTCCTCCATATCTCCACTATTTTTTTTTTACAATTCCCTGAAGTTCTCTCCTCTTTCCTAAATTGAGTCTTGCTTTCATTCTTCAGTGCTTATCATGAGTGAAGAATGAGGCAAACAACCATAATTAAGATTCAGCTTAGTGCTGGGAAATACGGTGGACCATGCTGCTCATTAGCCATTGGTAATTAAGCATTAGGTTCCTCTCTCCTATTAATGACGGGTTTGATGTAGCTGTCTTTGTTTCCATCTCTGGCTCTCTGTGTCTGATCACCACTTCCCTGCCTGGCTCCTCATTAAAAACTTACCATCTAAAAATTTTTATTCTGGGGCCTGAGAGATAGGAAGCAGATTCAACCGATCTTGGAAAGCGTACATCTTATGGGGAGGGAGATACAATATATACTACGATGATGGATGTTAGTGTGTTGGAAAAACTAATAAAGCAAGCAAAGAAGGAGGATGAGGAATTCAAGTGTGAGAGAAGACTGCAATTCTGAGTCCAGTGATCAGGAGAGCAGATGAGAGATGAATCCTGTGGATGCCTGAGGTATGTTCTACAGACAAAGGGAACCGCACAGATGATGACCCTGAGCAGGAGCCAATGTCTTAGCTGTATGGAAGCTACTGCTTCACTA